TCTCAGGCCCATTTATTCTGCCCAGAGCTCAAACTCATTTCGTCCTCAGTGATGTGCATTCACCATGGTGCATATTTCATTCCAATAAAAGCCTCTTTCCCTGCAGAACCAACTTCCTGGGGACACTCATCCCTAGCTTCATCCTGTGTGGATCATCATTAAGCTACAAGTAAGGTAGGCAGAAGTTATGAGACATGGACTACCATCTCGGCCAACATCAAGGATTGACCTGGAGCACTCGGGAGGTTAAACCACAAATTTGTGTAGTGCGAGTTAAACAGGCGGACTCAGCTGTTGGGACACAAATTGCATCCTCAGCAAACTGGACAAAAAAAACAGGGGGGTGGGGAGGACATAGCAGGCAATGCTTGTGGATTGCACTACTGCAATAAGATATTGGGCTGAAGCAATGCTCTAGAGCATATTTGAAACTACTTTTGGTAACGTTGCAGCATAGGAGACACTCAGAACAAGCGCTCTTGAACAGAGGAGTTGAAAAGAGTTTCTTGTAGCAAGACCAATGACAAAAGTCTTCATATCAGGGCAGCTAGTATCATCAACTTGACCTTAAATTAAGCGCTTGCTTCATTGCACCACATTCTCAACATGCAGGCTCAAATCAGAAAATGTGTAGAGTACCTGGATACTCCATATTGCCACACTGGCAACCTACCCTTCCATGCTTCCAGAAGGGCACAACATGAGACAGAAAAACGAGGAAAAATGATTCTAGGAGAAAGTCAATGACTTGCCAGGCAGTGCAGAAGGCAAAGAGGTTAGAAACAGTTTCTTGCTTCAGTCAGTAGGAAGCAAGTACAGGTTACAGCTCACACACATCAGACCAGCCCCAAAGGCTAATCAGAATCATTTGGTGCAATCAGGTTTACTGGGGAATAAATGCATTCATTTTAGATACAACATAACTAACCATCATGCAGATAAAAGCTGGTCTAAGTTAAACACGTTACCCTTGGTCCTAGAATATGAAAAATGAAACTAAGAGAAAACATAACAGACACAGTACTCACCAACCAAAGGAGAGAAAGTTACAACAAGCAACCATCAATCACAAAATGGCTGTTTAAAAGACTGCAGCTGCTGGGTTGTGCTGAATTTAAAAGGGACAAACAGCAGAAAAAGATACTGGGGGAGAAAAAAAATTTCTTTGAGAGATTTCCTAGGTAAGTAAAGGGAGGCTTAATGACTGCCCTTTCTGTATCATAACTCTGACTCATAGCTCATGCTGTTTTTGCACTTATAACTTATTGAAGTTGAATTTCTTTGGATTTCCACTGGTACAAGTGAGATCAGACCCAGATTTACTGGATATGTCAATTATGGAATACTATCAACCACTTTGAATGCATCTTCTCAGATAAATGCATCATTGGTAGGTCAGAAATGAACAAAGTACTGGACAATATGAGCTGTTTTGTAGTAGAGCTATTTGCAAGCGAGGCAATAAAGGTCCTAAGCTTCATCTACCAAGCCTGTTTCAATTTGTTTGAAAGCAATCTTCCTCCCTGCATCTGGCAACATATTAATAGCCATCATTTCCTACTTCAGCTAAATAAGCCTTGCTATCGGTGGAGGAAAAGCAACTTAGGAAAAAATATTTTTACAAAACAATAATGTACCACATAAACAAGCATTTAAAGCAAAAAATGTTGTAGAGATAACAAATCCTGGTCTTAGAGGAGGGCAAATACATAAGTACTTGACTGGCTGAGACACATGTATGTCTCCTATTACTATAGCATGTAAGTGCATCGCAACAGCCCTGTAAAGCAGAAAACTTGCTTTTTCTAGTTTGCCAGTTGGAAACTAATATGCAGTTAACAAGGGCACAGCTCCACAAAACAGCATAAACAACTAATGTGAAATTTAAGCCATGTCTGCTCAGTTCGCTTCTTGTGCCAATAGCCCCCTCAAGCATACTGCACTGCTCCAGGTAGACTGCTTCTCAACCTGGAAACAGCGTGGCCTTGTCAGTGCAGTGCCACAGGTAGATGAACTGACACCACCACTCAGTGGTGCTAATTAGCTGAATCAAAAGACTGTGGGATTGTGGTAATTTGGGATGCAACCCACCTGCAGCAGCCTCACACGCTTGAAGGTGTTACTGCTGGGCATGTAGACAGGACTTCAGATGCCTAAAGCTGGGCTTAGATAGTAATTAGGTACCTAGGTCCAAAACTGACTAAAATTGGCTTAGATTCCAAACATTTTTTGGCATTTAACTTCCTCAGGCACCCTCCAGTTCTGTACACACTGAAAAGCAGAAGCATTTCAGTCAGGACCAAGTAGTAAGTGACCCATCTCAGGCCTAAGGAAACTAGGCTTCCCCCTGGACTATGCTTCCTCAAGACATTTAGCCTAGAAAATCATATATATGAGACTTAGCTCCACAAAAACAGCTGCAGTGACTACCACCCTCTTTTAAAGGAAGGCAGTCTTCTGCCCCACAACCTATGCAATAGCTCCATGGCTAGAGCAGTTACTCAGGAATAACCCAGGTTATTGCCCACTTCAGACTTAGTGATTAAAATTTTCCAGAACAGCATCCTAACCAGGAGCCCTAACTTATTCTGAAAGGGAAGCATTCAGGTCCTTCTTTAGAAAACTTCTTTCATAAAAAACTCAGGATCACTGGACTAGAGATAAGGAGCACAACTCTGTGGTTGGAGTATTCACCTAGGTTCCAGTCCCTGCTCCACTACTCTCTATTTTTAGAGGGACCTATATAAAATTAAATAAAAAGTGAAGGAAGTCCATTGTGCTATGAGAGTCCCTATCCACAGTAGAGAATGGGAAGTAAGGATTGGTAAAGGGAGGCAGAAGATGAGCTAGGAAGGGAGCTTTGAGGAAATCAAAGTATGCAGTAGCATGTTTTCAATTCTAATCAAATCACTTTCTATGAGGCACCAAGGCAAGATACTAGATTCTTCTTATATAATTATTTAATTCAATATTATATAAAATATTTCAGAGTCTTCCTGAAACATGAAGGTTTCTGGGGGTTTGTTTCTGCCAAAAAATAAAATAGGAAAATGAATGCACTTGTCATGATTTCATTTTTTTCCACTGGTTGATAATTTGCAGGGGGGGGGGGGGGGAATTTAGTTTTAATCAGAAATATTTTTTTTTTTTTTTTTCCCCGGGTGATAATTTGGCGGGGGGGGGGGGGAGGATTTTATTTTTATGCACAATTTTTTTTTTTTTTTCCCCGGGTGATAATTTGGCGGGGGGGGGGGGGAGGACTTTAGTTTTAATCAGCAATATTATTTATTTATTATTTCCTGAGGCAGAAAGTTAACAGAGTAACTGTAGTCCTTCGTGGAGGAGAAACAACGTTTATTCAGGCAGAGTAAATACCAAGCAAATTCTGTTATTCAAGATCCTGCGTACACAAATAGTATCCTGGTTCTTGCCTAATAAATGCAACTTAATCAACCCACAGGTTCTCCCTAAGTCATCCTGGTCTGGCCTCAGTTGGCTGGGACTGGTTGGTTGATTATACTATTCTGATATTTCACTTAATTTCACTTCATACGTTTCTTATTCAGCTGAATAAGAAACAATATGTAGTTATAGGAGTTCAGTCACAACCAAAATTCAAATGCTACATCTTGAATTAAAAAAAAAATCAATCAGACTGTTCACTTTCTGGTTATCTCACCCCTAATTGAAAACTGAATTGTGTTTACTTTGCCTGTTCATGACTTGACTGTTTCTCAGCAAACGAATCATGATAGAAATGCAAAAGATTCAATATTTGGCTTTCCTGTGATACCACAGGATTGGATTCAATAATGGTTCCATACCGTAGCAACTTAATATATTATAAAATGAACTATGAAAAATTAATTTGCTGTACTGATGGGGAAACTACTACATTTAAATAAGGGGTGTATACAGTGTTTACATCTGTGACAAGTAGATATATAGAAATGGCAACCCTATCACTGAAGGAAAAAAAGAATATCTGTTAATTTTTAAATATTGAAATCAGTAGAAACAATAAGTTGCTCCACCCTGGGAGCAGGCATGATCAATGACTTTATAGCCAATGACATATATAAAATGCTTACACATTGTATGCATGCAAAGCTGGGGGCTTAAATTTAACCTGATCTCTAAGAGTGAAGAGTTTATCACTGAATCAGTCAGCAGGTCAAGTGAAATGTTAAGGCTCTAGGCTTGAGGCTCACTTGTCTAATGCTGAAACGCAGCCACCACAAAAGTGTAATATGGCAGCCATTCTGCTGCAGTGACTCCACGCAAAAGTTTCAGTGTCAAAGCAAAAACTAATTTCTCCTAATGAAACTGAATTGGGAGTTTTAGTGGTGCAGTCCTGTAATATGCTATATGAATATAGCACTATTTAAATAATTTAAGTTCATTCCATTATTCCCCAGGATAGATTTTTAGATTCAGCATGACAAATGAAGTAGTTGTGCCTGCCACTTAATGCACTGGCCAAGCCTGGGATATACTTATGGCAGCTTTTTGCTGTTTCATTTGGCAAACTGCTTCTAGAGCTGGCTTAGTCAATCTGCCCTTCGGCAAGACTCTTATGCTATCGTCAGGTGTAGCACAATCTCTTGGGCTGTTGTCAGCTAGCCCAAGTTAGGACAGCCATCTAGCTACACAAAACTACAGTACAAAACTATTTCTGGCTACTCTAACTTCTTGCTACGGCAACTAGATAAGTGAAAAAATGGTTCACAAATTGGGAGAATACGTTTGCTTGCAATCATTTTAGGAACCTTTTTCCCAGTTCCCTGAGGACTTTGTGAGGTCACTTCCTGTCCCAGTATGTTTAGGGGCTCCTGGGTGACTCTGAGTGTGCATATGAAGACAAACAACAATGCTTCTTTTGCAGCAAATAGTTCCAAACCCTTCATTAAGCAGCTTTTCCCTCAACTGGACCTGAAATCAGGTGGCACAGAAAATGAAGAAAATGGCATCCAAGAAGAGAGAGGAGACCAAACAGGTGGTAGAAACATGACCTTTCTCCATGAGGTCAAATAGCTTTATTGTGATTAAACACTACAATACAGTATATATCCATAAAAAAAACTCTATAGTGTATATAAATTATTCCTTCCATTCAGTAATTCTTTTTTGTTTTTGTTTTTTCTTAATTTCCATTACAGCTTTGGTACAATGTGATTTTGTTATATTTTTAAATACTTTTAGCTTCACAAACTCAACACAAAGTACAAAACTAATCCGAATCAGGGATATTACAATCTACACAGTGGTGTTCAGTGGTAGGAAAAAATCTTACCTCAATGAATTCATGTCACTAGCTAAGCTATAAAGGCATACCTAGCAGACATGACAAAAATATGCACCATTAACCAGCAAACATTTCTTAAAATTTATTTTAGTTTTTTTACAGAATTCCAGCAGCAATCACTTGAGCACTGTCAATATGTATGTCCTCAACTGATTATCCTGTTGTGTTCCTCTTCATTTGAAGGCCATGAGTTATTTGTCAAATAATGCACCGCTATCCTTGTATATCACACTAAGCCACAGTGTCAGTACTTGACCTGCCACCCTGTACTGTTAATACTTGTACAGTTTGTCCTGCAGTTGGCAGAGATAACTGGAACGTTATTGGACGGGCAGTGTGGGGCAATCAACCTTAGGTTGTTCTGTGGGGTAGGAGGTATGACATTACAGTAAACAGGCATTCCAGTGGCTGTAAGTGTTCCTTGACCTGATTGATTAGGTAGCATGATTGGTTGTTGATATGATTGTTGTGGCAGTCCTTGAGAACCCTGGGTCATTGGCACCTAAACAATGATATATAAAAAACAGATTGGTTAAGTTAGATCCAAGTGACTTAAAGTAGCCCCTGTGTACTTCTAATTTTCTATTCCCTTTATTTTAAATTTGTGTAAATCAGTGGTCCTCAACCTTTTCAGACTCAAGGGACCACTCATTAGACGTGAGGCACCCCCTGAAAAACCCAGCTCTTTGTTTTTCACTCATTTTTTGATTATGGAAAAATAGAGCAATTCTTCAGTTACAAAGAACTTAGAAAGACTGCAACAGGTTAGAATGTTTTTGATACTCTAAATTCCTATTTGAAATCTCAGAATTTATCTTACAAATCATGTGCCCTTAGCAATACTAATATTGTGTGGCACCCTCAAAAGGATGTCACAACACCCTGGCTGAGAATGACTGGTATAACCAGTGTGTTTAACCAGAGCATATCATTTTATTCTGTTCAGAACTACTCCTGTTTTCTGGACTCTACTGTGGCTTAGAGATGAGTTGAGGACATATCAGTGTATTCCCTGAGCTGCAAAGTGTATGTTAGACTGCTTATGTAGTATAAACTGAGCTTAAAATGACCGGATGCACCTTCCTGGCCTTGAAAGGGGTATTTCACTTGGTCTGGCCAGGTAAGAAATGTAAACAATTCCCAAACAGCCCTTCTTCCCCACAATCTTTGAAGAAAGACTAAAGGAAATGGAGAATCAAGCTGTAAGGCATTTTGTCGCACCTGTGCAAAATCAAATCTGTTGGGTTTTATACTGATGAAACCAGATATAATTCAAATCTGACTTCTAACTAACTATGAAAAATGAGTTTTTGAGGATGTCATATCCAAATGCTGAGCAAAACAAGAGTGTTCTGAATCCTGTTCCTATTTCATATAAGCCATCAAAGCTCAGGTAGGTCAAGTAAAGGAGAGAGGTGTTCAAAGAAGTTTTGTAGATTGTCCCATTTCCCCTACCATTATGTAGCCTCCCTGTCATTTCATTAGCTTAAAGCTACTGGCTAAATTTTTCAAAGCTGCCTTATGACATGGGCTGTAACACTGAGGTGTTACTTATGTGGTCTTGGCATGTCCAAGTTGGACAACAGTGTATATGAATTGCTTTGACACATGCAAATGATCCACATATGCTCTATACTCTAGAACAGGACTGTCTATCTGGTCACGTGGGCCCCTAGGAGTCTCCAGGCTCCCACCCGGCTGCCACTGCCCACTACTCACAGCACCATGTACGCAAAGTATGCCTTTTCAGAGAAAGGAATTCCTTACAGCTCTGGTATGTACCTGATAAGAAGACATGGCTGGATACTGAACCATCATGCCTTGCACCTGATTTCCCTGTTGATTATTCATCAGGTTCTGACTTTGGGGAGGTTGCTGCATTCCCATGAGTCCTTGGAACCCTTGTTGCTGATTAGGCAAGACAGGCTGATAACCTGGAAGACACAGTCATTTTCAATGAGAACTGTAGTTTATAGAAGAAAAGTCAGACCTGCACCCCCATGCTGCTATGCTAATCAAACAGCTGTTCTGTTTCCAGAGGACTGCTACCAAAAATAAAAATCTAACTGGATTTAATACTCAGTCAAGTGGGTGAGTAGGCAGCCCTGGAAAGTAAAAATCTGTATTTAGTCATAACACAGAGGCATTGTTGGCAATGTGCAAACTTCCTTATGTCTTCGATCCTAAGCAAGAGCCAACCTCAAAGGACACTTAATTAACACCATGACATTCAATGTAGGATCCTGCATGGATACCCAATGGTAATTACTTTTGGCCGCTCACCATTACCAGCTTAGAATAAAACTCCTGGTCTAGTGAAGTCAATAGCAACATTCCCACGTACTCCAAGGGCGCCAGGAGTTTGCCATGAATGTTTCTCTCAGGTAATTTGCCTGGCTTGAGAAGGTGAAGTTTCATTGTTCTTTTTTCTTATTTGCCCCTAACTCACCAAATCTCAGACAAAGTGTGAAGATACCAGCAGAAGTGCAAATGGGGAAAAAAAAGCACATGCTAAACCCACACATGCCTCCTCTTGGGGTTCTTCATTATAAGGTTGCCTTTAATTTATGGCTAGTGCACACTAATGTTTGCATTTGTCCAGGGAGCTTCTGCAGTGCCTCAAGAGGAGAATTTAAAGCCAGCCATTATCCAGCTCTTCACTTCACTCCAGTGCACAACTGATTAAGATAACAGCACAGACAGATGAAAAGTAATGGCTTGCTTTGAATTACTATCAGCTATCACAACATTATAGGTTTGGATGTTTTTAATTGATGTGCTCCTTTTGAAATGCGTGAATAAATCAGAGTTTATTCTCACTAGTGGGGAAGAAGGAGCCATTTTTTTTCTTAAGAGGCATGAGCTAAAGGCCAAGGGATTTGAAATGAGCAGCCAGTGGTCCAAGGTGGCATGGAAAGGAGAAGAAAGTGTGATTAATGGCAGTGATAGGAAATACAACTTGCCAAGGTTTTGGTCTGAGCATATTTTTTTCCTAAAGATACTTTTTGTCCCCTAGTCCCTCTGCTTTTTAACATTGCACTATCAAGTTTGTAGTGATGTTCTCAGAACAAGCATATTTCAGGCCAGAAAAGTTATTACAACTAGCATCTATTCTGTTATTTCCCATGTGAAAGTGAGTGTCACATCTGATCAATTTATATTTATGAATACAATGTATGGTTCAATATACTCCTTGAATGGGAAATCATCACCTGGACATTTCTTGATTACGTAAAGAACTATCAAATTATTAATGTCACTGTTTGTTTATACCAAACCATTGTGAAATGATAGCTCCCATCTCAAATATTATACAGCAGAAATGTATGGTACCTCTGACTAGTATTTTTGGCATATTTCACATTAAAGATGTCTTTTTAATATACATGAGATTAGTATCCCCACTTAACCTGATAAAAAGAATTAATTCACTGAGTGACAAGTTAACTTGGCTGGAACATCCTGTCTCTCTAAAAAGCACTGGATTATTACACATTCAAATGTGCTGATTGTTTATACAGAAACCTGGTGTCAGCATATTGTCCAGTCCTGTAAATTACTGCATCAGAAACATAAAACCTTCAAACTGAGTTTACAGTGATAGTCTACAGTAGGAATGGGAAAGGGAATGCAGAAGTTGGAGATCAGGGAGGCATGTGATGCATCTATTTATGGTAATTGATTTAGGTAGGAACTCTGCTGACTAAGGGTACTTTTGTTTCTTCCAGCCCTGCTTTACAGCGAGGTGTGGTGGAGGGTCATACTATTTTCTTACTGTTGTGCCACTATGGCTCTGGCACAATGGGTCAAACTCTCATTTTGAACTAAGCTCTCTTCAGACACTTCTGACAATGCAAAATGGTTTCAATGTGAACAGGACTACAGTATATACTAATTTTTGAGGCCCTGTTATATTAATGGAAGATAGAAGAGGGATCTTAACGTAAATGACATTCTGGCCCAATGTCTATTGGAGCATCTTAGCCTGCAAGGAAACTAAAGCATGTTAAATCAGCTTTAGTTAAAGTGACCCCGCCACAATTTTTCAGAGTGGGGAAGATGATACACGTGACATTCTAGGTGCTTTAATTACAGCATCTCTTGGAACTTCTCTAATTAAAGCACCTTCCCGCCCCCCTCACACACACTCCCAGAACACGTGTATAAATGCCTTAAGAGTCTTAGTTTAGTCATTACTAATCCTTAAATTCAGGCAAAGTTGGCACAGTCCAGCCCTAGATTAACAGTGAACTCATTGTTCCCGTCATGATTATTATTCTCTAGGAAGCACTGGATTTATGACCCAGATACCTTGTTCCGGGAGGACCCAAACCCTCAGACTGATGACTTCATCTATTCGATAGTAGGCAAACTTTACTGATACACAGTGATAGGAGATAAGAATAATGCAAACAACTGTCCCCCTCCCTCCCAATTCTAATTATCTACAAGTTCCTAAAGCTTCACAAGGAAAATGGTATGCCTGGCCAGTATGCAAATGCTACCCCATGGTTTTTGCTTGAATGTCAGATGTCGGTAGTTAGGGGAAAAATCAATTTAAAAAAATCAAAAAAATCAGAGTTTTAAATTTTTTTGGTTAAGACGCTTTAAAAAAACCCAAATAACTTATATATAGTTTAATTTTAGATATGTTCACACAAAGATATCATGGAATAGGGATTATAACTACTAATTGTAAACTATTTGAGATGAATATATTCATGTAACCTTTTTAGAAAAGTTTTCTAAATAGGTCACAACAGGCCATGGACTATATTAGGGGCCCGATCTTCTGGGGTTCCCAGAGGCTCCTCTATATATTAGTAAAGATTAAAGAAAACCACTCTATCCTATGGGACTCAGTGCTCAGTCTACAAGTTCCCTTTAAGCATCTCTGTGACGCTTAGTTTGAGTTTTGAAACTGTGGATTTGTATCTCCAGAGACATCCTTGTTAACAGCAGTATATGGAGATGAGAGATAACAGACCTGATTACCTAGCCCTCTTGTCTCTCTGCAAGTTTGTGTACATAGAGTCAAGCCCTCATCTCTGTAAAAGTGCAAAGTTTCAAGAAGTTAAATGAATAAAGACCATCGGACAACAAGAATGCACATCTTGTAGAAAACAACAATTAAATTGAGGCTTCCTGACCAGTGATTTAAATAGTGATTTAAATCAATTTGATTTAAACCAAATCCTCCCTGTCAGCAGCCTTAGAGGTAGAGAGTCAAGGCCCACCTCCCCCCACCCTGGGTGAGAGAGGTTGGTGGTGTACCCTCTATTCATGGTGGCCTTGGGTTCTATCCCTGGGGCACCACCCTGCTGCTCTGAAATCCCTCCTTTTCTCCTCTGAGTACTCTTCATTCCTGGGTACCATTGATTGGTTTCTGTATGGTCATCATATTGTCCATGTTCTGTCCTGTCAGCATATTCCTTTGTTTCCACAAACCCATCACATGCTTTCATCTTAATCAGTCATTTACTGGCACCTTAATTTGGGCATTTCCAGCCTCTGAATTTGGTCATTTCATCAAAACTAGAAATCCCAAGGGCTTTACAGCTGGTCACTGTGACCTGATGCAAACTTGTATTTGTTATGAGTTTTCAGGGAACAGTGTTTTGCATGTTATTAATTTCCTTAGTCTATCTGCTGGCTTCAGACACAATGGGCCTTGAAGGCTGACATCATGAAACTTTGTCACAAACAGGTTTTTAGAGACCAATTAATTCTTGCCATTCCCTTGGACCAAATGCATATCTACTCTGCCTGCAAGCCAATTCCTAACAGCAAATCTCTAAATATCATTTTCTAGCCATCAGGAATTGCACTGGCTCCTACATTCTACTTGTAGGATAAGTGTAGATGATTGGGGCCTATCCTATTCCAAAATGTATTTGGAAGGGCTAAATTGTGCCCCTGATATTCATACACAACTTCTGTTGATGCTAGTGGGAGTTATTTGTATGAACTAAGGGGAAAATGTTATGCTTACGTTTGTTTCATTTAAACAAGTAATCTCTTCTCCACTACCTCTTGGAAAGCCTTTAGTTTGTCAGGGCATAAGGAGTAACATATTAACAAAATTTGGCTTTGGAACCAATCACTAATTTCAAATTTGGCTAGAAAGTTTCTGCTAATTATCACCACAAAAAGGATATTGCATAATTTTTTTACTGCGACTCAACAGTTCAGCAAGAGAGATGCTACCTCTATGTTCATGCAGGCTTGTCTTTCAGAAATATTACCATATTTACTCAAATCCAAGATGAGTTTTTTTCCCCCATTCAACATGCAGGGAGAGCCCCTCGTTTTGTGTCCAAGTCCAGAGGTGGGATGATGCCAGTCCCACCCTGGGCTTGGAGTTACAGCCGTGGCCATGACCCTGCCCCTTAGCTGCCTCCCCCTGGCCATCTCTACCTCCTTGCTGCCTGCTTCCCCCTGCCTCTGCTCTGTGCTGCCTCTGCCCCATCTCCCCTCCCCCCATATTTCCCACTCCACCTGGAGCTCTTGCTCCTGCCTGGGTTGGCAGCAGCAGCGCCAGAGGTGGTCCTGGTCCTGGGGCTCAAGTCAGACCTGAGGCTGCTGCAGTTGCTCCTGCTGGGCCAGGCAGGGACCAGAGCAATCATGCTTCATACCTCAGGCCAGAGCAGAGCCAGAGTTGGAGCCAGAACTGTGACTAGGTGTAAGTGGCACCAGAGAGGGAAGCCAGTAGCTGGAGGGGAAGGGGTGGAAGCAGAGAGGAAGATGTGGCAGGGAGGCTCACATACTAGGGGATAGTGGTGGGAGGGCAGGTACTGGGCATGAATCATAGGGGTCAGGAGGTAGCGGGGCAGAAGGCCAGGGGGAAGTAACAGGGGAGGCAGGTGCCAGAGGCACAGGCACCAGGAGAGACTAGTACTGTGGGAGGGGGAATTTATAGGTGGGGGCAAGAAGC